TTTCTGTCCTCTATTAAATCACTTACTAGATATTTAAATTCTTGTACTTGCTTGATATTGGTATCTCCATTTTAATGTCTTGTGTGCTTCATGCTGAAGAAAGAAAGAAAAGAAATATAATTAAAAATCAAACTTCAATTATACAGAATTATATTAAAAATTTATGCAAATATATATACAGAGAGATCCATGTTTATGTAAATTCTTTCTATTTAATATTTGTGTGTATATATATATATATATATATATATATATATATATATAAGCAAATGTATGGATTATATTATATGACATTATATTAACATTAAAACAGCATAATTGCATATAAGGATTTTTGTTTATTTTTTCCGTATATTTTTCTTCATATATATATATATATATAGGGTGTGATGAGTAAATTTCATTCTATATTTTTAATTTCACATGCGAGTTGTTTGTTTTTAATTTAGTCAACTGCACAGTATAGTTGGGCACTGTCTGTGAGAAAAAAAGTTAGAAATCCATTTCCTCTCTGACCAGCTATGAATAAATAGTAGGACATACTGCGTCCTATAGCCAATCTAGAAATTCAAAATCAGAGAGGGTTCCTCCAAGGAGTAAGAAGATTCTGGATTTATATACACACACTTACATGAATATACACACATCATACTCACTCACTCCCTAATGAGCCAAACGATAACAGACACCCATAGTAATATACATGCTTACATACAATATACTCACTCCCTAAGAACCAAATAACACACACACACTTAACAGACACATCCCCTTTCCAGGAACCAATAAATGATCAAGGAATTCAGAGCTGCATGAATTCCTCCAGCTCTTATCTTAAATAACAACTTAAAAGAGACTGACCAACACAAGGACTGACCAAAATTCATGTTTAAAATAAAAAAAACAAATGAAAACTACAGACAAAAGTTCCTTTTTTCCATCAAGACATTCATTTCTGTAGTTCACTGCTAACAGCAAGTAGAATTGTTTTTCTCGTGATGATGGCCATGTTGGCCGAAACTAGTCAAGGAATCTAAATGAAATAATAATAAAACGAAAGAATATTAATATACAACCTAGTGTGTCTGAAGATTTTAATTTTTTAATATTTTTTTATTGTTCAATATATATATATATATATATATATGTGTTATGGAGTTAACATTAGATAAAGTATCTTCTCCTTAGGGCATAGCATATTGAAGTATGCTTAAAAAAGAAATGCACAGAAAATTCCAGTTTAGGAAGTCTCAGAATTCTGCAGATTTCATTATACAAGGCAATATTTTTCAAATTACATCGATACTGTTAAATAATACTTTAGCAAACTATTATTTTTTAGAGTATTGGATTTCTCCTCTGACTTCCTCAGTGTGACCTTTGAGGTCAGATACAGGAAAACGAAAGTAGTCATTTTTGATTGGCTGAAACTAGCGTGGGAATATTAGAGATAAGAAGGGATTTCTGTAAGTTAAGTTTTACATGTCGAACAATGTAGATGTGTTATACTGTGTCTGGAAACTTCTTCCCAGTAGAGTCAGAGAGCAAAATGTACCCATCAATGTGTTGAATAAAATAGTTAAGTTAAAATTCCATTTATTGATGTCTCTCTTTCAATTTTGAACTAAAACCATTCCAACACCCAACTGGGAGAATACGAGCAAGATACAACATTTTTATTTTGGAGTTAACCCTGTTAACCAAGACCTCTTCTGAATAAGGGGCACCATACTACAATACTAAGTAATACTGGTAAGCACATACTTATATGAGAAATATATTATGTAAGTTTCACTTTATAATATATACACTTATTAACCCTTTAAGAAGTGCATAAATCTCAAGATTAAAGCATTTTGGTTGGGTCTTGCGCCACTCAAATGTCTTGTCACAAAACCTACAATAATACTCAGGATTTATTTTAATACCATTATTAGCTGTGACGCTGCCTGCAGTTTTCATGCTTTCATTTCTAACACAAATTTTTATCCCACCTCCACCCTGTTGTCTTTAATATCAATTGACTTGACTATATCCATGAGGGACTCTACATTTCACCCAACCAGTTGGTATTGAAGAATCAATTTCTAGTTCCATCTTTGCCTAATATACTTATTTATCTTTCTGATGTTTAAAGTTGTTTGTTTGGTAATTTTCATGACATTAACCAATATTTCTTAATATTCTGCATCTTTACATTCTTATAATTTTTCTCAAATCACTTTTTGTGGCATTTCTAAAATCCTATTTTCTTGTTCTTATTTTGGCAAGGTTTTTCAATGTTTGTTTTATTGTTTCCTGATCTCTGTTCAACTTTTTACAATTTCCATTGTTGTATTCCTGTCATTCAATATCTTTAGAATTTCTTGTTTCTCTTTGGAGTATATATCTTTCTTATGAACCATGGTACCCTTCATATATCTAAAATTAAAAAACAATAGATATCAATACCTATACTCTATGAAATAGGAAGATTGCTCAATATTAATGACTAAGCATTTGCAGATATAGACAGGTTTGAATATTGCATTATGTCATCATGCTATGTTGAATCCTATGTCCACAAACACACACACACACACTATATATATATATATATATATATATATATATATATAAAGACTGAACATTGAATTCAACACTCAGAGATGACAGACTGTTTCATGCTAGTTTTTTCTTGACTATATATATATATATATATATATATATATATATATGGGTCAGTAGTGCATTGTGGGTAGATCATTCTAACAGTTATTTTGACAGGAGTGGTTTGTTTAATTTTTATTTGAATTAATTTATCTTATTTGTTTTTTATTTATTTTTATTTTGTATATTTTTATTTATTCTTCTCAGTTTTCAATGTTTGAGTAACGTAGTAAAACTTTTTTGAGATGATTTCTAATCATTTATTTAGTAGCATGTTTTGGTCTGGGAAGGTAATTAAAGCTGTCACCTCTGATTGTTGACTTCAATATTCACTTATATTTACATATGCTCTGTCTCTGATATTGAGCTCTTTATCCCATAAATATAGCACATCTTAAAAGTATATTTCTTCATATATATATATATATATATATATACTGATGTTTATTTGGGCAGCAACCATTCTTTCATGCATCTTTCATTGAAAACAGCTGAAAAGATAATTAAATCTTTTATTGAGTTTTCCTGCAAAATAACATATTTATGTTTTTCACGGGCAAAAGAATATTGGTATTGTCCATAGGTATAATTGTTCTCAGCACATTTCTTTAGCCATGACCAAGGATGTATCTTGAATGCCAAGAAGCATACAAACTGCTCAAACTGCACACTGTAAAATTACTATGTAGCAGCCACACACAAAAAGCACCTCCTTGATAATGGCTAGAGAATAGCCAAAAGCACTTGGGGCAATTATAAGTATGGACAATTCCTATATTCTTTAACCCTGAAAGGCAGAAAAATGTTAAATTTTAGGAAAAACCCAATAAAAAATTTAATCAAATCCTCTTTATTGGCTATTTTCAACGAAAGATGTATAGATGCATATATATATATATATATATATATATATATATATATATATATATATATGTAGGTGCCATAGAAATTTTAACTTTCTTGTTGCTTTTAAGTGTCCTTTTTGTTTACATTTTCACTAAAAACATTGACATTGCTCACATGTTCAGTCCATGGTTCAGTCTCTGCAACAATTTTGTAGAATGACATTTTCTGCTGCCTCACATCTATTTTACATCTGTCTAACATTCACTCCCATACAGGGGCACTGATATTACATTACAGTTATTTTACTCTTTTCTTTATTTCTAATGAAATTTTTCTGTTCCTTAATACTTTGCTTACCTTTTGGAAAGCATCTTTTACTATTCCAATATGCCTTCAGATTTCAATTTCATATTTTCTGTCTTCTGCTTAACATTTCCGAGATATTTAAATTTTTTTATTTGCTTAGTTTTGGTATTTTTAATTTGTAATCCACATGTTGGGCTTTTCCTTTTGCTCATGATCATACATTTTGTCTTCTTACAGTTGATGTTTAGTCTTTGCTTCTAGCTTTCATTTAATACCTTCTGTAGAAGTTTCTCTAGTAATCTTCTGTTTCTGCTATCTTTCTGTGTCTGTGTAAATGTGTGTGTGTAAGAGAGTGTAATCAAAGAACTACAGATTTTTTTACATCTCTCTGTTCTTGTGACATATAAGACACAATTTTTTGTTTTGTTTCATATTGTTTGTTCTTTCAAATTATCACTATCAAAACCTTTCTTTATCCTCTGTTGTTAAGGTCAGGGTTGGGATCAAACATGGGATCTTTGTACCTTGCCTAGTAGGGTCTCAGGCAGGATATAGACAATTTCCTTTATGCTGAATTTAAATTGCATGCATCCTTGTTCATGTAGAAAACAATATGTAATTGTATGAGGTTAGGCTGAAAAGTTCATAGGCTGACTATGAAGGAGTGATGCTAGAGCTGTAAAAGCTTGCATGCATTAATTTCAACTCTTCTTATTAATAACTGCATTGATTCTTTCCAGAGGAACTGAAACCTGACTTTCAAAAATTCCCCAGCTTCCCATGTTACAGTCTAAAGAAAGTCTAAAGAATGCTTATCTAAAAAAAATATTTTCTTAAAATATTTGCCCTATATTTTATGAGTGGACCAGTCTATTTAAGTAGTCCCAATTATTCATACAATCCAAAATATATTTCAGCTTCAAATAAACAAATTTTTGATAAGTAATAAAAAAAAAAATTAAACAGTCAATCAAAACATTCCTTTCCCAATGTCATTAGCATGAAAGTGAATGCAAAAGACCAAGCCGGAATTTGAACTCAGTATGCCAATTACACTTTCTGCAGAGAAAACCTTATATTACCTGCACATCTTTCTGTAGACTTTTAGTGAGAGTAAAAATTTGTACCTTTTTTTTATGAACATAGTTAAAATACTCCCGTATTCTGCAGTAAGTGAAGAATTTCTGGGGCTAAACATAATGGTAACCTCTTGTCTCTTTACTCTGCATTATTTATTCTTTGCAGTACATTAATGACATTTGTTTCAGTGGAGTCAATTATGTTTTATTTGACATGTTTTTTAATCATTTCATGCAGGGGATTACAGAGAGTGAAAGGAAGAGAGAAGACTGAGTAAAGGAAGGATTGAGGAAAGGACAAAAGATAAATGAGATTCAAGGAGATTTAAATTTTTGGCGATTTATATTGCATTTAATTTTTTTAAGATTATATTTATCAGGGAAGCAAGTAAATAGAATGGAAGTTCCACTGGCAGGAAGTACAAGAAAAGAAACTTTTGGAGTAGAAAGTTGCATTTAGTTATTTAACAGAAAACAGGTGGGACCTAGATGCCAATCTAGTAACACGATTAAATTAATGTAGTTGAGGCACCTGGGAGAAAAGCTTGTCAGAGCAGTTGTCATGAAAATATTTGTAGAAAAGACAGGCCTGTGAGAAAGTGACTGAAGTTGAGATGCCAAGTCAGGATTAATTTCATTGCAGATTCTTCTTTGGATTTTTTTAGAGAACCTTGAGATGAATCACAGGAGCAATAGACCAGAGACTGCAACAGTATTCAATGCATGGATGAATGTGTGAGATGGAATCTGACAAGAAAAATTTTCTGGCATGACTTTCTGATTTTGGTGTTCATTATGAGATATGTTACTGGTCAACCAGTTGAGATTTTCTCATAATTTGAATTTCATAGCACAACATTTTGTTTAGTACACCTGGACAATAAATTGCTCTCCTCTTTCAAACATATTCTCTAGCATGACTTTCTGAATAATGGTGGATCAAGCAAATGATGATTAAAACAAATCTCAGTGGTTGAATCGGCAGATGAAGTGAGCTATGCATGATAGACATGCTATAGAAGGTGCCACTCAAAACCATAACAGAGTTAGCAGCAATCTGTTGCAATTTCATAACTGGATTCTGCATGTATCATTCCATATGTGCCTTAGAGGAAGATCATGAAATCAAGTGTGTGGGTCACTTCCTGGCAAGCTGAGGTCCTCTTTAAACAAAATCCTGCCATTGGCACTTTCTCCTATTCTGATTTTGTTTCTCCTCCAACCAAATTATGCAATGCCAATGGATGATGGAAGCAGGTTTTGGAGAAACTGGAAGCTTTTAGTCATCAGTGTCATCCTTATATAGGAAGTGATCAGCAAAGAAGAAATTAAATTCTTGGATATGAGATAAACCGCTGCCACCAACAATGACGACAACATGATCAAGATGGTATGATCCATTATTTTTGAGGTGCTGGTAGAGTGTAATGTTGTTATAGTGGAACACACCTATTCTATAGTTAATAGACTCTCCCACATATAATAAGTAGGAGTAGTAATAGTAATGAGCAGTCGCTCAGTGGGTTGGTCAGTCAGTCAATGCCGGATGACCGTTAGTTGGATACTAAAGTATCAGCGACCACAACTAGATTACTCTGCGTTATACCTATTATATCAAGTTCTTAACATTTTGTAAGTTGAACCTATTTTAGGACTGACTTAGTACAAATACAAGCCTCCACTGTGAAAATCACTCCATAACAAATGTAATATATAAATAACTAAGTAATGAAGGAAAAAGTACAATTATAATAATCTCAGAACTGCAGACATTGTTCTTGAGTGTTTTTTATAGGGAAAGCATTAGATGTAGCTGTTGAATCAGTTGATAAATCCACTCTTTGTAGCACAGAAGGTGCTGTAGTGATGTATATTATCTATGCTGCTGAACATGATAATGAATTCTAAATTCCCAGCTAATTTGTTTAAATATTTGAGCTTAATAACTTTAACAAAATATTACAGTAACAATAATTAATATGAAGGTAGGCCATTACTTAATGAAGTGAGAGGATACAAATAAAAATATTTGAAAATGTTCAAGTTTTTCCATTTCACTGAAGTAGACATTAAACACATGAAAGCTTTATTACCTTTTCTGTCATCTCTCTTTCTTTTTCTCACTGAAGCCATGTTTTTTTTCCTTCTTTCCTAGCATGAAAACAGAATAGTTCATTATTTATGAAGCATTGACAGAGCAGAACATATGTGTTAAGAAGCTAAGGAACATGCTTAATTATAATATGATTATTGACAAAAATATTTTAGGAATTATATACATCGTTTATTTTAAAACTGTCAGATTAATATACTGCTGAAGAATCTCTGTGGACAAAGTATTTTTCAATGTATTATCTTCTTTGTATTTCTCTGTTTCATTGACTTGCCTTCACTGTTTGGCTTATTGTTCCCATTCTTAGAAGAGCAAAATTTATTCTGATTTCTTCATATAATCTTTTCTCTCCCTTTTAATCCAGTTACTACTTTTCATTGCTCCATATGTAAATGGATCTCATATAAACAAGCACAGGGCTAGAAAAATTAAAACTATCACTCAAAAAATAACTGAATAAAAAACATCATGAAGTTCTCAATAAATAAATTTGTATAGTTATCAATTAATTCTGATGCTAATTTATATAACGGAATAGGATGTATTTTATCCAAATAATTTTTAATACACCATAGTTTTTATTCTCTTCATTCTTCTCTTTTCCTTCATTTAATATCTATCCTTCTCAAATTTTTCTAATATTTTCTAATTCTCTTTTACTCATCCTGATCCATTTCTTTCTATTCTGTTTTTCACTCTTTTCTTTCTTTTTCATTTATAAATCCTGTTCTTTTCTGTTAATATTTTCTTTGCTTTTTTCCTTTTTCTTTTTGCTTAGCGTCAGTAATTATTTTCTTTCATTTTTCTTCTTCCATTTTCTATCTTTCTTTCATTTCATTCTTTCTTTCTTTCATTATTTTTATTAATTTCTCTCATTTTTTATCCCATTTTTTTCATGCTTTCTGTCTGTTCCTTCTTTTCAAATTATTCCCTGCTATATTTAATCTCTCCCATTTTTCATCATTTTAACTTTGTACTTTTTTATTTTTCTATTTATGGATACATATACATTAATTTTCTATATTTTCCTTTTCCTCTCTTTTACAATATTAAAGCTCATAATTCCTGTTTCTTACTCAAAACTTTTCCACATTCTAAATCTACTATTTTCTTCCTGGCAATATTTTTTCTCCTCTTCTCAACAGTTGTCCTTCATTCATTTCTTTCTTTAGATTTCTCTATTTTCTGCCACACATGTACTTGTCTACTACATTTTCTTTTCATTCCCTTCAGTTGTCCTTAATTAATTTCTCTTTTGTTCTTTTCTGTAACATTTCCTTTTTCTTCTTTTCCTCATCGGTTGTCACTAATTAATTTCAAAATTTTTTGTATATTTTTCTACCATTTCTTCTTCTCTTTCACATAAGTTGTCTTTAATTTATTTCTTTGTTTCTCTTTTGTTCTTTCCTCTAACTTTTCCTTTTCTTTCCCATCAGTTGTCCTCTATTCATTTCTTTCTTTCTCTTATTCTCTTTTCTACTGCCTTTTCTTTTTCTTCTCTTAATTTGTCCTTAATTCAACTCTTTCTTTTCACTTTTTCCATTTCTCTCACTTCAGTTGTCCTTAACTGATTTCTATATTTCTCTTTTTTTTCTCTAACTTTTTCTTTTCTTTCCCATCCGTTGTCCTTAATTCATTTATTTGTTTCTCTTTTCTACTGCTTTTTTCTTTTTCTTTTCTTAATTTGTCCTTAATTCATTTCTTTGTTTCTCTCTTTTTCATTTCTGTGACTTTTGTCCTTGTCTAAAAAATTTTCTTTTTCTACTCCTTGTAAGCTGTTGTCCTTAATTCATCCTTCATTTTCTCTATTTCACTTGCTCTTTTCTGTCCGCTCGTATTTTTGCCGTTAACATTTCTATTTCATTGTATCTTTTTTTCTTCTGAACATCCAAACTGGTTTTACAATTGTGTTGTGTCTAATCAGCCAAATAAATACGAGAAATTAATGACAGCATTTTACTTTATGCTCTGCAAAACACAGCAAATCACTGACAATGGCAATTTCACATCTGGCTTTGAACTTCATTAAACATCCAAGTACAGTGTCCACAATTATTTCTGCATCAATGAATATATTAGCATGAATCTATTATGGACTTTTTTCATTTTTTCTGTAAAACCCCTCTGCCTATTATTGTACTTTATACAGACATAGACGTATCTATATGCACATATATATGTAAATACATAGGTTCATCTATATATAAATTCACACACAGGAGTGTATATATATCTTTATGTAAATATGTATATGAATATCTAACATTGTGTTATTTTTGTTATAAAAAGAGTATTTGTACTGAAAGAGGAAATTTATAGATACTGTTTTCAAAATTTTTAGCATTGTCTAAAATTCCCTTTTGCATTTATACTTGAAATTTCTTCATTTTTGTTTCAAGCAAAGTGATGACTGTTAGCTCCACTTTGCATTCTTGTTCTGGATGCATCATTATTTTGGTGTCTTCAGGGGAAAAAGAGTCAGTCACCTCTCAAAACAAATGAGAATGTGATTAAGTTCATGAAATGTTTTGAAAAAAAGAAATGGAATCTTTTTCACAAACAGTAAATTGTTGGCATGAGTTTTCCAGTTAGAAAAATTAAATAATTCTATAAACTGATGATTTTTCCATGAAAAAGTTTGCATAAATTATACTTTGAGAAATGGTAAAAGAAATATGGGTTTTCAATTTGTAAAGAATACAATCAGCTCAGAAATGAGTACTTGTATTTAATCAATATTTGATGTGCAAAACAAAACAGTAAGGTTGATTGTGCTATTATTTTGGGACACATTTATAGAATTTCCAAATCATTAAAATTAAAAGTGGTACTCATTGCTTATTTCTAGGAATAAAAATAATTACATACAGATGTATACATAAATGCATATATTTATAAATTATACATAATAATACATATATACGTCTCTTGTCTTCTCACTTTATCTCTCTCTCTCTCTCTCTCACTATATATTTATATATATATATATATAATATTAGTGGTCAATATATTTATACACACACACATATATATATATATATATATATATATATATATATAAATTTCCAAGAGGATAGAATCCAGGTAGAGCTCAATGTACAGGACAGAGCAGGAATATAATACAAAAGTCTCAAACACTAACATTCCATGGTTATAATTTATTACATTGGAATTGTAATCACAATCCAATTCCTCAGACATACAAATTCAATATATATATATATATATATGTATATATATATAAAAGTTTATAATATATAAATATATCTTAAGTGTATTGACTGAGATATTTGAAAGTGCTTGAAAAAATAAAACACATGAACTTTGGACAGTTTATCCATAAATTTGATTCTTATTTACACAATCTTATTTGAAAATTAGAAAATACAAGACAAAAACATAAACAGGCTGACTGTTGGGTGAATTTGTTAGATATATACATACATATGTCCATATATATATATATATATATATATATATATATATATTTAGGCAGCAATCCTTCTTTCATGCACATTTCATTGAATATGACAGACAAGGTGCTTTGATTTAGTTTTTTATACAATTTCTCATGTGATCTAATAAATTTTTCTTTTCAGATGGAAAATTATATAAAAACTGTTTGAATTTTCTTTTTCTCCATGCACTTTCAGCTATAAATTTAGCCATTTTCAAGGATTAAATATTTTAACTGTTAAATAAGAAATCGTTTATTGCATGTATGTAACATCCATACATGCAACAAACTATATATATATATATATATATGTATACATGTTGTGTGTGTATATATATATATATATATATAGCACATTGAATAGTGCTCAATGTACAATAACAGATGTTTAAATTATATATTAATAATAAATACATGTTTTTCATCACCACACTTTGCATATTTGTATCTATCAGTATATAGAAAAAATATATCTATGTTGTATACACAAGACACACACACACACATATATATATATATATATATATGTTATGAAGAAAACTCTGTATAAGATAAAGGCTGAAATACATATAGCACATATGCTATTACAAAGGAAATGCAACTAATATAAGATAAAGGCTGAAAATTAGAAAGTACATGCTAAAATAAATGACAAAAATAAAGGCCAAAATAGTGAAAACAAGGATTGGAATAAACAACAAAAATAAGGGATGAAATAAAAAAAAAAACTGAAAGTATTATATTTGCCAGGCTAATTGTGTAATGGTTAGCAAGCTTATCTCACTAGATTAATTACGACTGAATAATGAGTTAGGTCCTCACTAGGTGCGCCCCATTTTCGAATTTGTGCCACATCTAAGCTACACTTAGAAAATCATTTGGGCACTTTTACATGGTATAATGGTTAGCAAACTTATCTTGCTAGATCAATAAAGACTGAGTTAAGAAGTCAATCCACATTGGGTGTTCTCCCCATTCAGCTTTGTACAACATCTAAAGTTACACTTGGAAAACCATATGGGGCACTTCAATATGGTATAATGGTTAGTATGCTTGTCTTACTAGATCAATTATAACTGAGTAATGAGTTTGATCTTTACTGGGTTGCCTCTCACTTTAGGCTTTGTGCCACAGCTAAGCTATGCTTAAAAAATCACAAAAAGTTACAAGTGATATAATTACATTTTTTTTTTTAATCTGTGTTTACATCAAGTTCAGAACATTTTCATATAAAAAAAATATATCTTAACAAGATAAAAAAAAATGTTATTGCTTGAAAATTTTTCTAGCCAAATATCAGTTTTCAGTTTCTGTTTTATTTTTAAAATGTACAGGGAACTTCTGCCCATACCTAAAACTAGTTTCTTTAGCATATGTACATTGCATGTAACATACATCTAAAATATTTTCTTTATGAAGGAATTTTTCTAAGACACATATTAGGACATGTCATGTATACATATCTATAAGTTGTTGAGATGCCAATTGAACTGAGCTAGCGATACAATATAGAGACCTTTAAATGTAACCAGCTTCCATATATAAAATTGATTCTTGCTAAAAATTTTCCATCCAGGTTATCTCGTGCATTTGTCAGATCAAAAGACTTTCTAGAATCATATCTTTTGTGTTGAAATGAAACTTGGCAAGAACAGACAGATAAAACAATTCTGAAGAGTACATTTTCCAAAAAAAAGAGAAAAAATTTAAAGAACATTCTCTTTTTGGAAAATGATGTGGAAAGAAAAAAATCCATACAGAAAATCTTTCAGTCCTTTTAAGGAGAAGACCTTATTCATTACCTTATTCTGAAAACTGTATAAAATAATTCAAACACAAAGGATTATTTCTCAGCTTTTTGTTACAGACAAAACTATGCATTCTTCTCATAAGATTTAAATATGTAGATATTTTATACAATTAATCATAATCGAGGTTTGGTAGCTTTAAAATATTTAAAAATTAAGAAATTTAAATAAACTGTGGTAGGTGCAAAATGTTATTAAAACAAACATTTTAAAATTATATATATATTTATGTTCTATGTGCCAAATCCCAACAAGATATAGATGATCATGGCTCATTTTTTTTACCTTTGCTAAGGTTCCTCACACTTCATTCTTCCATCCATTCACACAAACTCATTAGCTAAGTGGCTCACTGCTTTCCCCTATCTATCTTGCCCTCAATATACCCCAGTGAGAGTTAAGTTTTTCAAACCCTCTTTTCTCATTATGTGTCCAAGGAATTTCATCTGTCTTTTACTGATTCTGAGTATAAGAGTTCTTCCTTTGACATTTTCTTTAAGATTTCTTGCTTACTCACTTCATCAATGCAATTTTCAGTACCTTTCTGTAGAACCACATTTCTGTTCTCTCTAGTTTTTTCATCATCCATGAAGAAATTGTCCAACATTCACTCCCATATAAGAGAATGGATATCACATAGCAATCCAGCAATTTTTTTTTTGTTTTTAATGAAATACTTCTGTGTCTCGGTACCATGTTTAGTTTTTGAAATGCTTCTTTTGCTAGTCCAATGTATTTTGTGATCACAGACTTGCATATTTTAATCCTCTGTTTAAATGCTTCCAAAATAGTTAAACTTCTACACCTGCTTGAAGTTTAAATCTCCAATTTGTAAATCGTTTCTTGGACTTTTTTCTTCTGATGACATTACTGTGGATTATCAGTTATTTCTCTTGAACTATTTCTATTAAAGGAACTCTTCAGTTAGGACAAGTGCTTAGGTTGTTTAATGTTTATCATCTAAGCAAGTTAACAAATGGTAGCTGTCTTCTTGAAGTTGATGATTAGTCCTTTTTTCCACTTTCTTTTACCACTCTGTCTAGGAGATCCTGTAGTTTTCTTTCTGAGTTGGCCATCAACATAGTGTCATCTGCATATATTATATAGTTAAGAAAACACTCAATGATAATAAATCCTGGTAACATATAAAAAAAAGGGACAGAAAAGAAAGGATAAAAAAAATATTTTCCCCTTTTTCATGTTTTTGTTCTGCCGCACTTTCATATATATATATATATATATATATATTTGGTGTGTTATGAATAATCAAGAGTGGTTTCCGCTTGTTTTTTTTACTCTGCTCTTT